GTTACCTATTGAAAGCAAGGACAAGTTATATAAACAGTGGGTTCATTAGAGAGATAACTTTGAATATCTTGAGGTCCAACTTAAGAGGTCACTCCTTGTTTTCCCCAGGACTTTATAGCCAAATGACTAGGGATGGGTATTGTTTAGGTTTTATCCGATACCGGTGCCAAACCGGTACTTTTGAAACGGTGCCGGTGCTTAAACGGTGCTTAAACCGGTGCTTAAAGAATGGAGAACACAAAATTAGTCCAAAAACCTCTCATGTTCAGCTGTTTTTTTGTAAAAAGATAACAATGTTAGCCTTTTCTGCAGCTATAGGGGATTTATGGCATCACTCTTGGCTGGAAGCAGTGCTTAAACAATGGAAAAAAGACAAACTTTGTCCAAAAACCTCTCATGTTCAGCTGTTTCCCTCTTTTTCTTTGGTCATTTTAGCCTTTTTGGCCAGGGTGAAGGGAGCATCTGCCATCAAACAAGAAGACAGCCGTATGTAGCTATGATGATGTTTGCTAGTTCACCTTACATGCATTAATTTAATAACGTGGTTAGCCTACTCAACAAATTACACACGAACAACATGAAGCTACTCATGCAGAGAAGAACGGCTGCTGCTGCCATCATCATCTGTCATCATTTCTGCTACACTGGCAGGGCTAGGGGCCAGGACTCTCCTCTTCGTGTTTTTGGGGGATGTTGCTAACTCCGGGTCCGATAACAGGCAACCCACCCGCAGTAGATGTGCTCGGTGTGAGGTCTCACAGCAAGCTATCAAATACGGCGCATTTCTCGGCTTTTAAAAAAAACGCTATGCGTCGCCAGGTATTTCATCGGATTTGAGGTGTTACCTCCTTTGACAGTATCACAGTATCAGCTTAAAGCACTTGTTGCAGGCTGCTGAGTTTGCATATTTTGCTGTGAAGTACAGCCAGACTTTTGACCGCTTTGCCTTGGTCATTTTTAATCTGTAGCTCTGCTCTAAAAGAACGTACGTACCTGGCCCCGCCTACTATCCTCGGAAACGTAAAATGATTGGCTAGAATCTAAAGTGTATCACAGCTCAGGGAAAAAAAGCACCAAAATAAAGCACCGAAATGTGCGCTGCTTTTTGGTCTGGTTACTACCGTTTATGTCAGAACCGGTGCCATGATGGCACCGGATACCGGTACCCATCCCTACATATGGATTCATCTATAATAAACAAAATCATAATCAGGGATTAATCTGCATTAAAGGCTGCAGCCCTAGTTGGCAATTAAATTTTCACATTGTGAGAAACCACCCGATGGGAGTAAAACATTATTCAGAAACTGCAGGAACCAAAAAGATCAAGAACAAGTGATTTAAGAAACAATAGTCCTAAGAAGGCTATAAATTCTCCGTATTTGAATTTATTTATTTTTTTAAAAAAAGAAGAAGACTTCCATGTTGTCAAGTCACATTTTTGTGGCTATGCGAGATATGATCATTAATGGAGTATCATTAAACTGTAAAACAAAGCATGCTATGAGTTTTACATTTGCCAGACATCTCTTTGAAGGTGGTGAGGGTTTCTTGGAAGTCCAGGTCTGATCCAGAGTAACATACGCTTTACCCCACATTTATTTTGCTGCGATATGGACACCCTCAGTGGCACAGGATAGCATGCTGGCATGCACCACAGTTCAGGTTGTCTCCTTTAAATGTTTAACATCAGGCTCTGCACAAAATTACAGTAGAACTCACTGCAGATGAAACGTGTCTCTCTTGTAAATGAGACGCTGAGTCTCAATGGGACTATCTAGATATTTGGATATTAAAAATATTTGGATATTTAAAAAAAAAAATAGCTGCTTTCTAAGAAAGAGACTTCTTTGGTAGCCATTACCCATCTATACTGAGTGCATTGGCATAAAGTATGTGTGCAAAGAGAGAAAAACATCTGAAGGTCTTTGATCTTTAAATTTAATTTATACAAGAATGCTAGCAGTAAAATTGTTGCTTTTCTTTAATGTTTTTTCCCAGTGATTTTAAGGGGAAAATGCACCTTACACACACTCAAACTATGCAAAGATTTGTGTTCTTGTGTGATTTTGTACTTTCAGTAAAACTAAGTATTTTCAAGGACTCTTTAAGTGATTGAATAAAGAAAAAGTTCATAATAACACAAGTGTCAACTTTTTATTAAAGTTATAAAGGCTTAAAGGAGTCCATAAGTCAAATTTTTCTAACTCAAGTAACTGCCAGTGCAATAATATTTAGCTGTCCATCCTTTATCGCACTTTTACCTGCCATGTATGAGGGGAATTAAGAGTGAAGTTAGTTTTTATTTTATGGTTTTAAATACAGGGCCCTGTAGCATGAACACATAAGAACATTATTCAGAACGTTCACTAAATAGCAGATATCTCCCTCACCTCCAGCTCCTTCATCAAAACGTGCATCACGTGGCTTTTCCCTGAGGCTCGATGACCGTAAATGAGGATTGAAGGGTAGCTGTACTGGTGCGGCTGGAAGAACAAAATTCAGCATCTTTACACTCAGTAGAACTGTCTCACTCGATCAAGACCACTATCCACTTAAACCTTCTATCAGCTTTCATCAGCACATCGCAAAGTAATAACAGCCAAGCTCTGATATGATTAAACCCAGTGTTAATGTCAGTAATCAGCCATAGTGCTAACAGCTCATAGACTCAGCTTACTTAATGAATCTATTTAAAACCCTGAGTGAGATCAAATGACAAGTAATTAATTTTTATAACAAGGATAAAATAAATTGCATATCTATTAATGACTTTAATCCAAGACAGACATCAATTACTGGTACTAAACTGTCCAAAGCTTCAGATCTACATTTTATAATCTAAGATAAACATTTTGAACAATGAATTTTAAAGGGAAATCTCATCAGATGATCCAAATATGTCGACATATTTACTAAATTACACTGGATAACACAAATAATGCAAAACTTAACCCTAGAAATAAGAAAATGACATTGAGCTACTGAGATATTGAGATTTAAGGTTTAGGAAAATGACTTTTATTTTTCCTATACTTTTTTTATAAAAAACAAAAAATATAATAGTAATAATAATAATAATACAAGAAAATTGTAAAAGAGTGAAAATGGTCTTTAATGCATCATATATCAGTAATAAAACTTTTTAAATCAAACACATAAAACACTGAGTTTTTAGGACGTTAAAAACTGAATTAGCATGTGTCTCTGCGTCTTTTAATGTGGCATACTTTAAAACATTAAACGGAGATGAGTGGAGACTTCTTACCTGCCCCATCAGCGACAGCAACATTTCAGCCTGGACCTCTCTGCAGGGCAACTTCTCTGCTACCCCCTTCAACCTCTCCTCATCGTATCCCGGGTGCTGCAACAGCGCCGTCATGCTACCACCACACCGTTTATGTAGGTGAGCTCAGCAGAGTTCTGCTAAAAACAACTGACTGACGTTAGCTTCAGCTCGTCCAACTCCAACCAGACGACGAATGAACTCCGTTGTTCAGACAAAAAAAATGAGTCAAAGGAGTAATATCATCAAAAATTATGTGCTGTAAAAACCATAGGGTGCTGAGGAAACATTCATGCCGGTAAATAAAATGTCTTTAAGACTTAAAATGCGAAGAAGTCTTCAGTTAAAGTCCGAAACACCTTAAACTCAGTCAAGACCACTTGCTGGAGTTTCGCGCGCGCCTTCAGATTGCGTCACATGCTGTCATTCGGTAGCAGCGAATCACAAGTGAGACACGAATTCTGGGTAATGTAGTTTTGGGAGTGAAACAAGCACATTAGAAATTCACTGCGGATTCAAGATAACTATTTGCGATATTTCCCAATAAACGTGGATCAAAGCAAGTCTTACATACTGCAACATATTTAATTGTGCTTTCACACACTTATAAACATACATTCTAGTAATCTATGGGTAACATCTGATGTAATCTGGTACATTGCAGTGTACTGGTAGTACACTAACATAACCAAAAACAGAAGAAGGTATAGTCATCATAATATTAAAAGTATATATTATTTCAATTTGATGCTTTTTTTAAAATGTTATTTCTTTCTCTCTAGCTAATCACTCACTCAGATACATAATCTTCAGCTACATTCTTATCCACTCATCCATCCATATGGAATACAAAAAAAATCATTTTATATATCAATGTAATGCTTAATGTAATATCCATCCATTCGCTTCCGCTTATCCTTTTCAGGGTCGCGGGGGGCGCTGGAGCCTATCCCAGCTGTCATAGGGCGAAAGGCAGGGTACACCCTGGACAGGTCGCCAGTCTGTCACAGGGCTAACACATAGGGACAGACAACCATTCACACTCACATTCACTCGCACATTTACACCTAGTGGCAATTTGGATTATCCAATTAACCTATCCCCACAAGTTGCATGTCTTTGGACGGTGGGAGGAAGCCGGAGTACCCGGAGGGAACCCACGCAAACACGGGGAGAACATGCAAACTCCACACAGAAAGACCCCGGCCTGATGTTGGAATTGAACTCAGGACCTTCTTGCTGTGCGGCAACAGTGCTAACCACCGTGCCACCGTGCTGCCTGCTTAATGTAATATTATAATATAATATTTTTAATATTTTTAGCAAAATAATGATGAAAAAGACGTAATATCCTGCACGTTTCGTTCTTGATGTGAGATTATCATTATTATTGTTCTTGTTATTTATTTATTTTTGCCAGTTGCAAGAAATACATATAATAAATCGTTGTTGTAGCCTACTGATCTAGTCTTTGTGCTCAAAAAGCTTAATATCACAGATCAGAAAATGGGCTACAGTTTAAAGAATGTACCAGTCTAGGTAAAACATTAGAGAAAAGACCCTGCATCTTGGCATTTGATTATCAATATTTGAATAGCAGATGCGTTTATATCCACTAATTTCCATACAATTATTGTCGCAGTGATCAGGCGTAAAATCGCTTCGCTCTAGAAGAAAAAAAAATCAGTGTCTGTTTAAGATTTCGCGGGTGACTGTACGTCAGAGTGGGATTAAGGGATGTGGGTTGGCCCTGTAATATCCGAGGCTATCCTCCAACTCTAATTCAATAGGAGCTCAGCTGCGCTGTCGGTCTGTCGGCGTCGAGAACGGGCTGACCATTTCAGGGAGAGCCGTGCACACAGCTGAGACGGTTTATCGGAACAGCGGACACGATTCAGGCAGAGACATTTTAACATAACCTACACATGAAGGCAAATATGGAAGAAATCCCCTAAATTTTGGATTCCCAGAGCTCGTCTTTTTTTCTCCCTGGAGCGCATGTCTTGATTCTGCCGACTAATGAGTGAAAAGCAAAAAGAAATCAAACACCGACCTTGCCACGGATGAGAGCGTAGTGATGCTGTGATAACTGTGACTGAACAGACAGTAGGGAAAAAAAATCCGCGAGCAGCGACAGGGAGAAGTTGTGCGGGATATTGTGGTCAGATGAGGCAGATGTTAGTTTGCTGAGGAGGTTGATAGATCCCGAGGACCGCGCAGACCACCCTCACATTATGGTCCCCGGGGCCCCCAGCACGACCACCACCATGCTCCCCGCATCCGAGGCTGCCAAGATCTACCAGACCAACTACGTGCGCAACTCCCGCGCCATCGGCGTCCTATGGGCCATCTTCACCATCCTCTTCGCCATCGTCAACGTGGTGTGCTTCATCCAGCCGTACTGGATCGGGGATGGCGTGGATACGCCGCAGGCGGGCTACTTCGGTCTGTTCCACTACTGCATTGGAAACGGGCTGTCCCGGGACTTGACCTGTCAGGGCAGCTTCACCGAGTTCAGCAGCATCCCCTCCGGTGCGTTCAAAGCTGCCTCCTTCTTCATCGGCATGTCCATGGCGCTGGTGCTCACCTGCATCACCTGCTTCGCGCTCTTCTTCTTCTGTAGCACCGGCACCGTGTACAAGATCTGCGGCTGGATGCAGCTGGCTGCAGGTAAGAGGCATGACTACAGGTGGAAGTTTGGAAAGATGGCTTGTAGGGGAGCTCTGGGGGTGAGTGAGAAGAGTCCAGTGAGCAAAATGTTATAACCTAAAACTGTTTAAAGGCACAGATATTACCCTCATCTCCCAGTCAGGGTGTGGACTTGTATAGTTTTTGGCACAAAACATCTGTATATTGTTTTAAGGCACCAACAAATTCAGAGGTTGGAGTGCTTTTTCACTTCAAAAACAACAGCAAAAACATGTAGTTTACATCAAATTACATATGTAAATTAGTTGACCCTGAACTGTAAAACAGAAAAAAAAATGATCACAATGTGCAACAGGTTAAGCCACTGAGCCCAAATTGAGTAGATTTTGTCTGATGAGACCTTTTGTCAGAGACTCTCTCTGGTTAATAAAGCCCTTGTAAAACATTATATAACTGTCTGTGGTGTAGGTGGGCTGGCAACAGCCTTGGAGTGACCAAATCTTCAGCTCCAAACATTGTACTAAACCCTCAAGAATGAAATAATGAAGGCATGCTAATATTTTCATTTTGCTTTCAGAGAACTCATTCCCCCTGAACCTGAAGCTGTGAATGAACTCTCTTCATACACAGACAGCGATTTTAAGTACAAAAATACAGATGGAAGATTTTAATACAAGCTTATATCTTCTTAGTTTCTTCCACTTCAATTCAATATATCGTTGATTTTATAACTTCTCAGTGTTTCCTGTGGTGTGCTTAAACATAAACTGGAAAACGCAAATTCTTCTTTTGCTCATTTAATGACACAGGGAAGGTTTTATCTTCAATCCCAGCCAGGACGTTAAATAATAAGAAAACAAAAACTCACACAAAGAAATGTAATGATGTATAGTACTGAGTGAGCTGTTTCCTCCCGCCTTTAATTATTTTTTAGTTCTTCTCCTTTTTGCAGAGAGTTCCATCCAAAACAAACTATTTCTGTACATACAGGAGCAGAGAGTTTAATAGTGAAATCGTTTCTTATTTTACCCCTTTCATTTATCACAGATGTGTTTTCTGTACATTTTATTGTTTTTCTGTTTTCTGTTTATTTGGATCCCCTTTAGATTTATATCTCCCAAGAGTCCTTATTAAAGTCACAATAGAATACAAGCAGGATACAGCTGTGGCTCAGAGGGTATGTTGATGACTCAATCCCTGACTCTTCCAGCCCGCATGTAGACGTATCCTTGGGCAAGATACTGAACCCTGATACATCCGTGTCTATGAATGTTAGAAAGCGCTTAGAGTGAAGGATGAGACATGTAGCAGAGTGTAGTAGAGAGTAGAAAGACACTCTATAAGTACCACTCCATTTACCATCCTACATACAAACACCACCTCCTACACCCGGTGCAAAAATACTGCACACATACCAAGTGTTTTAAAATAAAGTATTTTTCATATACATGTGAATGAGAAACATTTACTCCAGTGAAGCATGTACCCCATGGCCATTTTTCCCTCCCATGCCAACTTTAGGCCAAGAGACAATAAAGCAAGAATCAAGCGTTATTACTATAGTTATCTTATGATTTGTTCACAGCTTGCTGACACTGATTTGTGATAACAGTAAGAGATTTTATTTATATGACACCTTTTAAAACACATTTACAAATTTACATTGTTGGGATAGGCCTGGCAGAACCCTGGCTGGGTATCTCAGGCTGTATCCTTCCATATAAGGTGTCAGAAGATCTGAGATACACTTAGTTTGTGAGCCCACAGTGGGCTTTAAAACCCATCAATCAAATCTTAAAATCAATCATCAAATGAAAAGGTAACTACTGAAGAGAAGCTAAAACATGACTGATGTGCTCTCTGGCTGCTGCATTTTGGACAAGCTGTAGTTTTGTGTAGATGTCTTTGTGTATAAGGACTTAATAACGGTCTACAAGAGAAAACAGAGCATGACTGGACAACTGAACTGATATTCATATTCCAATTGAGGTGGCTGTCAAGATATGACACCCTGGTTTTTACAGTGTTGGCCCAAAGAGCCCAGATGTGCTGTAATACTTCTGTTAGCAGCATTGTGGCCAATTAATGAAGCGCTTACTGAAAGTCCATTTTAGTTTAGACAATTTTAAATGTGTGGGCTTATCAAAGGGCAGCATGTCTTTGGACTGCAGCTTCCTCCCTCAGTCCAAATGCATACTTCTAAGGTTAATTGGTGATTCTATTGTTTTCTGTGTGATGGGCCTGTGACTGGTGACCTGTCTAGCTACCCCATGGCGCTTAGCTAAATAAGCAGCTAAGGAAATAGATGGTCTATTCCTACCTTGTTCATTTTCTGAAAGCATTTAAGATGATTTACTGAGTTCTTCTTAAGAAGAACGTTTCTCTGACATTGTACTAGGGAGTTGGCAGATTAAACACTGGCTAATGTCCAATCTGACTGCTTCTGGACATTTGCATTCTTATGCGAACCTCAGCTAGGATGTCTGGAAAAGTTCAGGGCTGCAGTGTATTTTTGAAATGAACATTCACCAAGGACAGCATCGAAAGAAACAGCAGAGGTATAAGAGCTGTGTAAACTGAGCTTCGAGAGTGGTAGTCTGTAGGCGCTATACACTGAGCCTTACAGGCTCGTGTCTACAGCTGTGTGCTGTCACCTTTGAGCGGTGCTAAAAGTATGTCGAACCACTGGTAATGTGGGCTACTGCTGTTCATGTTTGCTGGTCTACTATGTTAACCTCTGCTGTGGAAAAGACAGCAGTCCTCTACAGAGAACTTCTCCATTAAAAGCAATTAAAGCTTTCCACTGCATGCATGCTTTCTATCTACATTTTCCTCTTTGTGATAAACCTTCCTGTCACCAACTTTTCAACTGGTCTATGTGAACCTGGAATCTTTGAGATTAGGTTCATGCTTTTGGGTTTTTGGAGAAATGCAAATAAAGTGCATCTCCTTAGGCTCTGTTGGTTGAAGGTTTCTTGAATATTGTCATGTCCATATTGCTTGAGATTTGTCCACCATAATGGATGCTACACAACTGCCGAACGTCAGGGAGAAATGTGCATACCCTGACTGGTTGGGTTTCTGGGGGCTGCTCGTTGCCAGAAACAGAGTGCTGCACCACAAACCTCCTTGTGATTGATTTGGTCACTAGCAGATTGCCTGTTGTATGCATGGAGGACGCTGACTTGCTAAATACTAACCGAGGGGCTGTAAGATTTGGAAAAGTGTGACTCAAACCTCAAACAGAGAACTCTTTTGTTTTCTGTCACACTTTGCAGACAACTTCCATTAGTCCATGAAAACTACCAACAACTGCACCAATATGCTAGCGATCAAAGCAATCGGAAGGAGGTTTTGAACAACCACTCGCACGATACACATTTCTTTCTAGTGAAAAATCCAGTTTCCAGATGGTTGTGGACCAGTTTTCTAGACCTGTGTGTCACTGATGCCCCATTCACATGACCCTGGATTATCATACTTCCAAAATGGGGAATAAGTTAGCAGTTTCATGGCTGCAGTACCTCAAAAGCTAACAAGCTAAGTAAATGGGTAATAACACAGGACCATAAATCCTGTTCAATAATTTTAGTGCTGATTATTGCTGAAGTCTCACATTAGTTGATCTTATTTCATATTCATCTAAGGATTGTCACAGACCCAGAAAGCAGACTTAGAAAGGAGTTTATGCCTTTCAAGTGTTTATTTATAAGTTGGTGAAAAAGTAAAGAGAGACAGCGTTAATAATACCTCAGTTTGGGTGACTATAGCTCAGAAGGTAGAGCAGGTCCTCTGTTAATTGGAAGGTTGGTGGTTCCATTCTCTTATGCTCCAGTCTACATTCCAAACATCCTTGGCCAAGATAACAGATGATTCACTAGGGCATGTGACTGGTAACTGAAAACAGAAGAGGGACCAGGGTTAACAGGTGAATAGGAACACTAATCACCGGTAACAGGGTTGTCACAAGCTCCATTTGGCAATCTGACCAGGAACTGAGGCAACCTTAAATACCCACACATGATGACTGAATCTAGGACAGGTGTGGAAAGGACAACCAGATAGGAGACTCTGCCCACACCTAATGCCAACCCCACCTCTTCACCTGTGACTAAATAGCAGAATTAAAACACAAGCACAGATCCTCAATCTGGTGCACCACAACACTCACCGTTAATCAGTCACATCATGAGTCAACCTCTGACAGTTTAGGCGAGTGTAGCCTCGAGCAGATGAGAAACATCTGCAGGGGTCCACTGAACCTGCTTGTCTTTTTGGGTTCATTTTCAAGCTTGTAGCCTTTGTCCTCAGCTGACAGTTTTTAATTTATCCAATTTGGATACAACATTTTCACCACATATAGAACAAGTTCTCCAATAAACCTGTAAACCGGCTTTGATGTGCAGGATAGAAGGAGCTCCCTTTTAAAGTCTTTTGATATTTGTTTTCCTCAGCTTGTGATTTTTGTGTAAAAATGCAAACATAAATCTATCTAAATAAGTCCGATGGACGTATGGAAGCTCATTTGTATTCTCATAAAGATTGGTTTAAGGTCAACAGTCCCAACTGGGAACAAAAAAGAAGAATATAGCCGATATCTTCCATTTGTCTTTCACTTGACCTTGACTCAACATTGACTAGAGAGAGGTGGAAGAAAGAAGCAGCTACATGACTCATTGAGCTTTAATTTGATCCAGAAATAAGAGATTTGATTTCATTTCTTGAGAAAATGAACGGCGCTGCACAAATTTACACCCCCGCAGCGAAACATATGATAAGTAATGACTGATAAAGACAGCGATTCTGCGCCGAGTCTCTGGCTCAGAAACGTTTGTGTATATAAATAATCTGCCAGCATCGCATCATGCACCTTTATAAATGCTTGCAGCAAAACACTGCTTGTTCTCAAATGGGAATTAAATGTCATAACCAATAACAATCACATTAAACTGCACTCCTGCTTTCTGCCTACAGAATATGCCCACACATTTGGGGTTCAAGTCTGCTGGCCACCCGGCCAA